ATAGAGAAGGAAATTGTGGAAGTCTCAATCAACGTTCAATCTTCTGGAGAGTGTGTCAAATCTCCGATCGATTCTCATCTCCAAGATTAAGGAGCAGTAGGAGACTGAAATCCCGTTCACTTTCTTTTTCTGGAGGAGAGCAGAGAGAGGTACGCATAGATATCGCTGTGAAGCATCATCCAATCGATGTTCATTTCCGGTAGGAAGAATCGAAGTCTCGTGGTTTTAGGGAGGAAATCCGGGGAGACACACTTGGAAGATGTTTCTTACGGATTATCAATCTAGAGCTTGCATTATCAATGGAGCTTGATTTGAATCCGTGACGTTCTTGTTGCTGTTGTTGTGAATCTGAGCATCAGATCGGCTCGTTTTCGCACTTAGTTGGTCTATTTTCTTTTGACGGAGTATTTGTTGTTGAATTGGTTTGATTTATTTGTTTTTTTCGTTGCAAACAATGAACAACGGTGGCTTACAAGATGCCGCGGCTCCGGAGGGAGCGCTAGAGCCGCTGGAGTGGAAGTTCTCTCAGGTATTTGGAGAACGGGCTGCGGGGGAGGAAGTACAGGAAGGTACGACATTCGATTTATTCCATTTGAATTCAGTTAGGGTTTGATAGACTTCTATCTAATTTTCCATACTTCCACTGTTGCTGGATTCAAATGTTGCTATTAATTCAATTAATGGAGCTCGAGATTTTCCAAGCGAATTGATTGTCATGAACAATACATTGGCGTGTATTCTAGTATTTTAGTATCTGAGCCTGTGTAGCATCTTAAAGAAGCATTGTCGTTTCATTCATTTGTTTCTTACATTCAAGGAGTGTCAGCTGATGGTTTTCTTTTCTGATGCATGTCTTCTGAGGTTGTTGAAGAGTAGTTTGTCTCTGTCTCTGTCTCTGTCTCGTGTTATTAAAATAACAAACCATTGTTGATAAATGCTTGTGGCATATTCCATGTACACTGTATTTGTTGGGCTGAATTCTGCACGGTGTTTTTTTCCTTGATTCTCTTGAATTCCATTTATTATTTCTATCCAATAAGTTTCTGAATTTGAAATATGAGAAGAGATTGTGTTTCATTAGTCTCATTCTGATGATTTTGCTTGTTGAAGAGATGGTCTTAACTGATGGTTTTACTTACCTCTTATTTGTTTTTTCTTTCGTCAGTTGATATCATATCAGCTATTGAGTTCGATAGAACTGGAGACCACCTTGCTACTGGAGACCGTGGGGGTCGGGTGGTTTTGTTTGAAAGAACTGACACTCGCAATGTATGTCTCTTTCTCATATCCTCAAGTTAGGTTATTGCACTACCTTTTTCACAAAAAACTCCTGTTGCCATACTTTCATAAATTGTAATATTGCTACCTGACGTTAACCTATAATATGTAGCATGCTGGACATAGGAGAGATCTAGAGAGGATGGATTATTCAATTACCAGGCATCCTGAGTTCCGCTATAAAACAGAGTTCCAAAGCCATGAGCCCGAGGTGATTAATAGTATGAATACTAAGTTTGGATTTATCTGCATAGTGATTAGTGTTTTTGTCTTACTAATTCTCAACTTTATTGGTTTGAAACAGTTTGATTATCTTAAAAGCTTGGAAATTGAGGAGAAAATTAACAAAATTAGATGGTGCCAATCAGCTAATGGTGCTTTGTTTCTTCTTTCAACTAATGACAAAACTATCAAGTTCTGGAAGGTAGGGGATGGATACTTTCCAAGTTTTCTTGCATCAGTATCATCTTCCTGAATTTTTCTCTTCAAAAGGAGCATCAATGGAAGGATGGATGAGAAGTATTCTTCTTAAGAAGTGAAAGAGCATATTAAGCTTATAAATGTAAGCTTCCTAAGACTGTTGGTCTTTCTTTTGCAACACTTGACAGGTCCAAGAGAAGAAGGTTAAGAAAGTATCTGAAATCAATGTTGATCCCTCAAAAAGCATGGAAAATGGTCCCGATGTTGGTTCAAGTGCGTCATCAAGCTCAACAAGCTCCAAACCTTATATTTCAAATGGGGCATATCCAATCAATGATTTTTCCTGCTCAACTGGAGGTTCTGCATCTCTGCATTTGCCTGTGGTAGTTGTGCTTAATCTGATATCCTCATTTCTTCTTAACAAAATGACAACTTAATTTCAGAAATTCTTGTATTAAGGACCTATCACGTATTGACTACTTAATTCTTATTTGAAAGACTGTACCAACATTATTTTGACAGCTTGACTTAGTTGTATGCTACATGTGGATCACACCTGACATGTTTTTGATATCTAGGTAACCAGTCATGAGACAAGCCTTGTTGCCAGATGTCGGAGAATATATGCTCATGCCCATGACTATCATATTAACTCCATTTCAAATAACAGGTGCTTGGACTTATTTGATCTGATTTATGCCTTCAGCTTGTTTGACCTTTGTGTATAGAATATTTCTATCTGCCATTCTGGAATTGATATTGTTCTATTTGTGATCCCTGATGTAAGTGTACTATCCAGGGGAGGTGGGGAGGGGGGGGGGGGGGGGGAGTGGTGTTATACATGTTAACTATTTGTTAGCATTGGCATAAGCATTCAGCCATATAAAAGAAAAAGAGCAATACAAAGTGTTCAGCAGCTACGTAGATTTAGACAGTCAAAGAAAGTTCCTAGTATTGGTGGTGGGTTCTTGAATCTGAAATGCCTGGGGTCTCCTTTTGTTACCATATTCATTGTCTTACCAAATACTGACTCTCTACTTTCCTTTCTGTTGTGTAGTGATGGTGAAACTTTCATTTCAGCCGATGACCTGCGAATCAATCTCTGGAACTTGGAAATTAGCAACCAAAGTTTTAATATTGTTGATGTTAAACCTGCTAACATGGAGGACTTGACTGGTATGAATAATTTTGTGAATGGCAATTGTGTGTTTAATCTTCTTTCTATCAGAAACGAGTTTGATATGTTAAGCAACTGTTTTCTTTCTGGTTGACTCTTCTCCCCTTTTCCTTTCCTTAACCTTGTTAAGGCTTTTCACCTACCCCCTCTTAATTTTTTTCCCCTTTTTGTGGGGAGAGAGGGAATGAGGAGGGTGGCTTGGTTAGCTTTCTTGAAAGATCTCTAGTGTTGTGCATATATGATGTTTTCTTGTTCAAGAATTATATTGGGCATCACTCCATTCCTTTGTTTTTGTTCGTATGTACAGAGGTGATAACTTCAGCAGAATTCCATCCCATTCACTGTAATATGTTGGCATATAGTAGCTCAAAAGGTTCAATTCGTCTTGTTGATCTGCGACAGTCGGCACTGTGTGACAGTCATAGCAAATTGTAAGTGATTGATAGTTTTTTGTTTTGTTCAAGAATCAATATATTTGTTAAATGAGTTATTAGACGCATTGTTAATTAACTGGCCATAAAAGAGACATTGTTAATTAGCTTTGTCATTGTGAATAAGAAACTTATTTGGATTTACTTTCATTTAGTTTTCTTTTTGTTTTTACAAGTTTCTGATGATACAGGTTTGAGGAACAAGAAGCTCCTGGCTCAAGGTCTTTTTTCACAGAGATAATAGCCTCAATCTCTGACATTAAGTTTGCAAAGAATGGAAGGCACATACTCAGTCGGGACTACATGACTCTAAAGGTTGCTACATTTATATATGCTATCTTATGTAATCATGAACTCTCTCCCTTTCTCTCTCTCAGGGCCTTTCTTTATTCTGTCCTCTCAAATCCTTCTGATTTATTTGTTGTCAGTTGTGGGATATAAATATGGAATCTCGACCAGTTGCTACTTTTCAGGTTCATGAACATCTAAGACCTAAGGTGACTTATTTTTCCAAGAAACTTTTGTTGGGTTTAGATAATTTTTATGGAGATGCAGTATTAACAGAAAATAGTGCATTCCTCCCCTCTTTCGGATCTTGAGCAGTTGTGTGATCTATATGAAAACGATTCTATCTTCGATAAATTTGAATGCTGCCTTAGTGGAGATGGACTTCGAGTGGCTACTGGTTCCTACAGGTCTGCTTCAGATATTTGAACGATTCTCAAATGTCATCATGATATAACATCTGCATTTTGCTTGGATTATGGTGTTAATTTAGTAGATTTCTGTGATTCCAGCAATCTCTTTCGCATCTTTGGTTGTTCTGAATGCAGCACAGAAGCAACAACATTGGAAGCTAGCAAAAATCCCTTGAGGTTTGTATCAAGGATGTTGATTATTGTTGGTTAAGTGTTGGTTCTTAGTGATGTGAGTGGCTCTGAGAATGGAATTGATTCGCCATTGCTGTTTGCCAATTCCTTATTCAAATGAATGCTACATTGATTCTTAATAACACTTCATTTGTTTGTCTTGCATTTTCAGGAGACAGGTCCAGACCCCATCTAGGCCCTCTAGATCTCTTGGTAGTCTATCTGGTGTTGTCAGGCGAGGTATGTGTTTTGCCACATGAGTTATTCCCTAAGTTTGATATTTGGTTGAACAAGATTGTTTCTACCAGCAGGTTTTACTGAAAAATTATTCCAATGGAAATTTCATCTGAGTATATTTTCATTGTCATTTCAGGCTATCACTTCACTATTTGTTCCTTCCTAATTTGAGTCTGGTGTTTTGCAATCTAGACTGCACTGGGCTGCAACATACCGACCATTGGATGGAGGAGCTCACACCCATTATTAGGGGCTCCTCATCATCCAATGATTAATGTTTTGCAATCTGGTGTAATCCAACCTTTTGTCTGAATTTTATTATCATTATTAGTTCTGATATTTTGTTTTACTTGTTATGAGTGAACTAACAAAATAGTTGCTGTGAAGTAATTTAGTTTTTGAATGACGACTGAATACTAGAAAGTAAACTTTTGGCTTCCTGTCTGCATGCTTGAGATAGATTTAGTAAGCTTGTCTGTTTCTCTTTCCATTGCCAGTTAAAGGGGCAGATAACTCTGGAGTTGATGCCAACGGGAATACTTTTGATTTCACAACAAAGTTGCTACATTTAGCATGGCACCCAACTGAAAACTCTCTTGCTTGTGCTGCTTCAAACAGTCTTTACATGTATTATGCCGAGGGATGGTCCAAGATAGATCATTGATTGTTTTACCAGGCAAAGCTTCCTGAATGTGATGCATATGTTGCTTTGCCTCTCTCAGTTTCTCTCCAATCAACAACGAGGAAGCTGCACCATATATTGTAATCTGGGTGATTCACTTGAATTCTCGCAAATCCTCTGATAACTGGTTCAATGTGGCTTCTACTGAAACGTCTACAAGGGAAGATTGATTTCTGCTTCCAGTCAGGCCTGCCCACTGATTATATCTTTGTAAGGAAAGATGCTGCTATGTCACTATTGTGTTTTACTGAGGTAAAGAAATTGTGACGGTGGCATTCAACTATGTGGGACTTATGAGAGCTTTAGCTGAATCCAAGGAAATTGACAAGTTCTGGTGCATCAATTCTCATTGATATTGCTTGGTCTAAAATCTTCTTCTTGCACATCTGTGTTCTTTTATTATGATGATACTTGTTTTTTAAATTCTAACTATTCTTTCTCCTCGTAGAATTCCTCATTTGTGGTATGTTGTGATTTCTGCCCAGTGACGGTTCTTTGGGGATGAAGTGTAGTGTAGAACTCCAAGCTAAGCATTCTACTTCATTTAAATTCCAAAATTTTAGAAGTGTTGTTGCTTGTTGGGCAATTTGTAGAATTCTGGATACGAAAGTAATGCATGGTTACAGAGTCACATAATGATGCTTGAAAGTTTTATTTTCAGATTTGCAAACCTTTTATACGGGGGCATCGCATTAAATTGTTTAAATCATTATGAAAACATTTTGTACTACTTTTTTCTTTATATTCCATAAAAAAAATACTTTTTTTTAAAAAAAATTTATAACGAAAATACAACTAATCCAAAATTATGTTAAAAAAAAAAAAAACCATTCTCCCCGTTGTCTGGACTTTGGCTTAACCCGTCATTCTCAGATGCAGAACTAAACCTCATAAAATTCCCATAGTTTGACCTCTTAACATCTGGGGGCAGGATATTCGGCATTGCTTAAACCGCCCCAACCTAGCCAGAGCTCAACCCTTTATTTCCGTTTCAAATCAAAAGCGTTAGCTGATTCCCATTTACTGGGATCTCTCCCAACTGCCAATCCATGGCTCTAATCACTCGAACGACGGCCACCGGCGCCGCCTCTCGCCTCCCTCTCCTTCTCTCCGCCAACCAGGCGCTCTCACTCCATACCACTATCCCTTCTCTCTCTCCCTCAACCGCCTCCACCCCAACCCCGTATTCTCGACCTCCTCTCCCGGCAACTTCCTCTCCCACGGGCCTCTCCAAGGCGGCCGAGTACGTAATCTCGAAAGTCGATGACCTCCTCAACTGGGCTCGCCGCGGTTCTATCTGGCCCATGACCTTCGGTCTTGCTTGCTGTGCTGTCGAGATGATGCACACCGGAGCCGCTCGCTATGATCTCGATCGTTTCGGTATCATTTTTAGGCCTAGCCCTCGCCAGTCTGATTGCATGATTGTCGCTGGTACCCTCACCAACAAGATGGCCCCTGCTCTGCGCAAGTATGTTATATTTTTTGTTTCAATCCAATTTCTTTGCTGTTTTAATGAAAATTCTGAGTTTCTCGGTTTCCAATTTGTCGCCCAATGATTATTGTTGTCAATATAGTTCAGGCTCTGGATTGGGTAGGTTTACAAGGATCTTCAAAATAGTGTTTTTAAGATTCTAATGATTTTCAAGCTAATGGGAGGTTGGCTTATGTGGATAAGGGAATGTAATTGAATACATAGTATCAAAATATCTTGGTTTGTTGCTCTTATTTAGTTGCTGGGAGATTGTGGGTTAAAGAACAAAAATTAAACGGTTGTCATGTTGTTGCTCTTGTTGATAGGCTTTGGGCTTATTTGCTTAAAATTTTGATTAAACTTAATTGTGGGATCTCACTGAATTCGAATAGGTTTATACTTAGTATATTTACAAATATGAAAAGCCAAATAGAAGGTGGTAATGTCAAGGATATTTGTTTGAATGACCCTTTTCTATTTTGTCAAAACCACATATCATTTATGACTAAACTCATATGGTGCTTTAGAGATCAATATTTATAAATGGGTAGTTATTGTCCTATGGAGATTGGTGACATAAAGCTAGAGGCATTTTCTGGTGTAGAGGGTGTTGGAATGTGAGATGTTTTAAGGTCTTTCAGAATCTGGCAAAATAAGAATGGCCTGGTGTTGAGCTTGTAGCATACCAGTCTCTGAAATGAGAAATGATGTTTTTATAATGGTTATGGACTTCAACGACTGCAATCACTCAGTCTCCTTAATTCTTAATTTCTTTTGGATTTGATTGAGTTTCTAAGTGTTTGTTAAAAAAGAAAGAACTATGATGGCTACAACTACCATCCCTTATCTTTCAAGATTTGAAGTTAAGTTGCTTTAATATGCATTTTATAGCCATCAACCTCAAAGCCCAAATTGTCTTGGCTTGTTTAGGCTTGAATGACTTTGCATGATCCAAATTCCTTGAGTTGTTAATGATTTGATTATCTTCAAGCGTTTTACAATAAATGTTGTTTTGTCCAGCATTATCTAACCAAAGAGTGATTGTAGAGAAACCACCCTAACCAGGACTAAATTTGATAGTATGGTTGGTGAAAGAATCTAAATGGTCAGCTGAGCTTAAAAGATAGCAGAGGATAAACTCTCTGTATTTTATGCGTAGCAGTTCTAATTATATTGGTTTCATAGGTTTTAAGCTTATGTGGCTTTCTGTTGAAATGTCTGCAGGGTTTATGACCAAATGCCAGAGCCTAGGTGGGTCATTTCAATGGGAAGCTGTGCGAATGGAGGGGGGTACTACCACTACTCATACTCTGTTGTTCGAGGTTGTGATAGAATTGTTCCTGTGGACATCTATGTTCCAGGGTGCCCACCCACTGCTGAAGCTCTACTCTATGGACTTCTCCAGCTTCAGAAAAAAATCAACAGGCGTAAGGATTTCCTCCACTGGTGGACCAAGTAAGGAATCTCTACTTGCTACATGGCAGTATTGGCTACACACTTGACCGTTAAATAAATCCATGGTATCAGTTCTCTGTTGAAAGGCCCTCTAGAGGAAGGCACCATTATCTAGATGTACAATCTAGAAAGTTGTTTTGAAACTTTGGTGTTAAAATCAGTCAGATTTTCTTTCTCTGATGTTTGTATGGTGGTTGTACCTCCTGTATTGCTCTAACGTTTGAGCTACATTAGTGGATGCTCATGATTTTGTTTAAAATCAGTATGAATAAATTGTGTTTGAACGTTGTGCTCTCTGGAATTCCTTGATTTGAGCCCGTATTTGCCGTTGGTCAAAAGAAAACAACCCACATTTGAAGAACCCGGATTTGCTGTTGGATATATCCCTGTTTGCCAGACTGCTTACAACGTACTATATAATATTTGAAGTACATAAATAAGAGAAAAGTAAAAAAATTATTAT